CAAAAAAAAAATGTATAAAAAAAACAAAGTTGAGGACAAGCGTTGTCGCAGCGGATTTACGCTTCACATACAGGCACATCAGCAGAACAAAAAAAAAATATGATGAAGATGAATTGCCATTGTTGAGATACTGCCGAAACATTGGATATAGATATGCGCCAGGATTAATACGAATATATGCTTATGCATGTAAAAATAAATGGATACAAGGCTGCTATTGATTTGTCTCTTGTCATCTGTTCCCTGCTCGCTGGGCCCATAAAACATTTGTTTAAAACAACTGACAAAAAATTGGATTTAATTCCGCAACCTTCGCTTGTCATTTATCATTTATTGAATTCGTTATCGACGAGCATTTAGCATCTAACGTGCCCACTCGATTGCGAGAAATAAATTGTGTGTCACATTCCCTAATCAGATCCACATTGACAAGGTTCGAACGAACAGTCTATATACTAAGCAAAGACACTAATGAAAGACTCAAGTTATGGCCTAAACTTTTGGCTCTTTGTGCATCTGGCATCTCGGAATCAGAATCAGAATAAGAATCCTTTGTCCTGGCTTTGATGTCACATATGCCTGAGAATATATTCACAGCCCACTCATTTCCTTCTGCATTTATGCATGACCATACCGTGTGTGGGAAGTTCTCTGAAATAACCAATTTGGAATGGCACCGTAGCCGTAGTCGTCACAGTTGCAGTCAAGGCAAACTTTTGCCATTTTTTAATTCTCCCACCACAGGCTTACAGCCATCCATCTGTAGTTCTGGCCCATTCTCGGGCCCAGGCACTTAGGCTGATTAAAGTGCACAGGCATCCCGGCAGCAGCACCAGCATCCTCATCATCATCTGGTATCAGCCGTATCATCATTGGCAACAATAACTAGGCAAATATATACTTACAAAAGCCATGAACACACTGACTGCAGTTTTCGTTTTCCATGAAAAGGAAATCCGGAAACATGTTTATTTAAAACGCCAAAAATAGAAGCGTTTAAAAGCAATGTAAAATTTATCTCAAAATACTTTAATTTGTCAGTTTGTAGGATGATGCCAGGACATAATTTTAATTGATGGCTGATTTCAACAAAACACTCTTCATAATTGAGACATAAAGGAATGGCTTGTAATAAAGTTTACACTTCTTATGTATGTCCTTTGATTGAACCAGAGAGTAAAATCCACTCAGCTTCTAACTCGATCTTAGTGGCAGTGTCCTGGAAAAATATGTGTTTCTTGTCGAAATCACCCCGTCTGGCCTTGCCATTAAATGCTCGGCATAATTCTGGGGTCCGGCGACGACTACGCCGGTGCTTAAGTTGGTCGCATAAAAAAGTGTTATTAAAAGCGAATATAAACAATGAGCGAATGCCGGCAAGACTCTTATGCTGGCGAGGCACTCATATTAAAATGCCGACGTCTGGCTGTGGTATTTTCCTTCATTTTTTTTCGCTTTTTGTGGCGATGTAATGTGTGGCACATTGACATACGTGCCGTTTGATGTGCAACAGTTTGAATTTGTTGAGGCCTTAAATTGTGTTGTTAAAAGAAATTTCATTAAAGACATTACATAATTTTATGCCAACAACAAATTGCAGCTCCAAATCAATGGATAAAGGAGTCGGGGGATAATATTTTCTACCTTCGTTTTTTAGGATTTTCCTTCATTTTTGATTCCATTTTTTGTTCAGTAATCTGAAGGCAAAGTCAAGGCAAACTTGGCAACAGTTGCCAAAATGGAGAAGGAGGTTGGGGACTGGCTCATCCTTGTGGACTTGACAACCGGAGCAAAGGCAAATCAAAGAAAAATTTGCTGATTTTCATATCAGAAAAAATTGCCATCGTTGGCACAAAAAATCGTTCGCCATTTTGCATCAGCAGGAACAGTAGCACCACTCTATTGAATGAGAAGTGCAAATATACTATTTCCAACTCCCTCTACTTATAGTATATCTATCGAAATTTATTCCCCCCTCACCGTCCCGGCCACTTTTATTGATATTGTGCATAAATTAACTTTATAAAGTTTTTTTGAATTGAATTTGCAACGAGTTGCACTTTCGAGCACGACCCCCACCCCACACACTCACTGATCCGAGTGGGTGAAGGATACATCGAGGATATAGACATAGAGACGCTGAAAGTGCTTCACTATAAGTGTTGTCTGACACAGAATTGCAACTCGAGACGAATGCCATTGCCTGGGCAGCCATCCAGCGAGGCAGCCAATAAAAATAATTTGCGTTAAGTTGATTCTTAATGGATGATTATCAATTGGTATTATGCTTCCTGCGAATATGCAATTACGGTCGTAACAGTCTCATAATAGCTTGAAAATATACTGTAATTGAATCAATTAAACCAAAAAAGCTTTAAAAATATGTACATATTCCTATCTGGTTAAAAATCTGAGCATATATTTTTTTATATAGTACTCCCCGCTTTACCTGCCATCGATCCTTGTATTATATGTACATCTTGCAGCTTAATGGAACTGAAATTGATTTACGAAAACACTTCAAACGACTCAAGTCCAATTTCGATTGCATTTGGTTTGTGCATTGGGGTAGATGTGCCACAGCCACAGCCACGGTTGCTGCCACAGCCACAGCCACGTCCACGCCCACCTCGTCTGGTGGCCTGTAGCATATGGGCATATACAGCCCACTCTGTTAACCCCCAACTGCCACATTTGTCCCTGTATTTTCCTTTTGGATAAGCGCTGGAAAGTACGCAGTGCAGTGCAAATGCCAAGCAGACTCGATATAAATTCATTTATTCATGAGCTCGAACCAGGAAATGAATGGGAGCTGCCTGCCAGCTACCTGCACTCCCGCCCAGGTGTGGCTGTGAGTATGAATATGAGTGGGTGTTTGTGCATAATGTATGAATACTTGTCTACGCTCATGTTGAAAGCGACAAGCGGTAAGCGAAAAACAGATAAACTTTTATCATTTTGGCGAGTCTTTATGATAATCCATAAATTTCATTTAATTTCCATTTTCAAAACCATTTCAATCACTTTTCATAGAGCTATTTTTTGTTTTTTGAATGTTTAGCACTTAATCTGCTTTTAATATTCAACTAAACACGGAATGTTCGTAGTACGAAAGTTTGACTGTATCTTGCATTTCGCGATTTGCCTTTCTGGCGATGCAATGAACTATGATTTACGAGTTATGAGGCCGAAAAGTTGGCAACTTTTCAGCAACTTTCATTCCATGGGGGACCCTCTTCAATTTTCTTCGTCTAATGCAAGTGTTTGCCGAAACTTAAATTGTGCGCATTATTGGCAGAGTGCACTCAAAATGCACTCACACACACACTTACTCACTTTCTGCAACGGCAGACATGCATAAATTTGCGCAAAAACCGTTTAAACGAGATATGGATAAAGGGTCCCAGGGGGTGTGGCTAAAAGGAAGGCGTCAAGTCTCGGCAATCGCAGCAAATGCATACAAGCGTCTCGCAGCACACACACAAAAAGCAAAGGAACTCACACACTCACACAGTCACTCATAGTTCGTTTCTATTCACTGAAGACGCTCAACTTTCACTTTGAATTTGCCAAGTTTTAGCTTGGCCCCACCACGCCCCCGCTTAGCCCCTACTAGCCGCCTCCTTTTCGATTTTGAAAAGTCTTTTGCCAAAGGCTGGTGCTGCTGCTGCTGCTGTGCATTGCCTTTGATTTTAAAGATTTATCGTGTTTTCCTTAGCATACTTATGTGCGCCATTTACATATTAATGGGACCAGCTGCTACGAAAATGACAGAAAATAGATCATAGGCAAATGGATGGGCAAAAGTTGAAGGAGCAACTAACTAACAGAGCGACTGACTAACTTTTATCGCCAGCCTTTAACAGATTATCAATAATTCCAATTGCGAATTCTCAAACACACGAGTGCTCAGACATTCATTTTTCTGGCAAATCTCCAGGGTTTATTGTGGTCAAATGTCAAGATGGAGCACTGGAGCAACGTAATGGGGAAAAAATTTATGAAAAATTGTATAAAGCTTGGTGACCAGACCAGGAAAACTTCCATATGTTGACACTGAGAAAAATAATTTAAAATATGGTTATAGAAGGACTTTTCTTATATATTTAAAGCAACTCTTAATCATAGTTCTGCGTCTTTGTTGAATTTGAATTTTTATATATATATATTTATTTTTGTTTATATATATTTTTATTTATATTTATATTATATATTATATATATTTTATTATATATACCCATTTTCTCTCTGTGCATACATATTTGTCACAATATTCCCATTCGTCACTGTTGTTGCTCCCATTTCATAAGGCTACCCGGGCTCCCTGTGCCTCCCTGCACAAATTCAATTGAATAAAGTCATTTTTATTTGTTTGCCAACTTGCAGACATACTTTATACAAGAGAAAACGAGAGCAACAACGAATCAAATTTTGAAAAGGGTTTTCCCAGGAATACAAAAAGAAAACTTGTCTGCAATATGTCCTGCGAAATACATGTGACAAGCACAAACTGTTGTTGAGCAGTCGATGGAGGACTCCCGGTGCCCCATAATAGCCGATATTAAATGCATTCTGAAAATGTAGGACGGACGAGGAGGCAGGACAATAAAAGTGATTGAAATGCCATATTTCCAGTCCTCCCACTGAATAGGACCACTTTGTGTGCAGCTTGTAGATGTGTGAGTTGTTGTTTCGAGTGTCCAGGAACTGGAAATCTAATCAAATCACCAAGTTGAGGGCTTAATCAGAACGAAATGTGTAGTTCGTAGACTATGTAACCCGTCTATGGCCTGTCAATTTATGGCATCTAAGCTAATATTTCCGATAAGAGGAGGGCGGCAGTTAAATAGTCTACTTAAAAATAGTTTTTCAATGATAATGATTTCAGTTTATTTCTTCCAATAGATTAACTTTGATGGAATGATAAATACTAGTTTTTACGAATGCAGTTTAATGCCTTGAAAGCACCTATTAAGTTCGTTAATCTTTCTTATTTGCAGTCCTGGAGCCGGCGTTTCCAATGCGCGATGTGACCATAAAGCGCAACGTCGATGCCCATAAACTTTACGACGTCCTGGGCGAGGTGGGGCGGTAAGTATTCGACTGCGACTTGATCGAGTCCCTCGGACGATATCCAACTAATCGATATTACCCCCTTGTGGGTGTACAGTGGAAAATTCGGAACGGTGTACAAGTGCAAGGACAAGACGAACGGCCTGCAGTTGGCGGCGAAATTCGTGCCGATTCCGAAGCGGGAGGACAAGCGGAATGTGGAGCGGGAGGTGGAGATTATGAATTCATTGCAGCATCACCTCATTATACAATTGTACGCGGCATACGAATATCAGAAAATGATGTGCGTCGTCCTGGAACTGTAAGGATGATTTCCCCGACCGTCAAAGGCCAATACCCAATATGAATGTGTTGATTTTGTTTGTCCAAGTCTCTCGGGTGTGACTACCTACTATACTCTATACTCTCATTCTATATGTAGCTATGTATATCCCTTTCTCCTATACTATTCGTTAAGTTTGTTGTGTCCTTTGTTGTTTGCCACATTGTCGCCGGGGACACAATATCTTGCAATCAGTGGGAATGTGCATAAAATACGATTTACACGTACGCACATTATCGTAAAGTAGTAAACTTTTCCCCACACAAACACACACCACCAACTGGCACACCAACACACACAGAGATATCGGAAAAGGGAACAATTTTCCAAAGGAAAAGCCTTAAGCAACAGGTTGTCCCTCTCGCACTCCAGTACTTGAATAGAAATTTATGCCAACTTTTATTTGCCTCGCGAAAGTTCTAGCCTCGAAAATGAATGCCGACATGGGTTAAGAGGGTCTCTAATGGCCCATAAAAACATTTGAGGCAGGTATTTTAGCCCGCTGATTAGTCAACGGCCTTGACCCACATTCACCCCCTCAGTTGTGGGAATACAAAACAAGAAACAATTTCATTTTCATGACCAGACAAAGACCCCAAAAACTCTTTGTCAACTTAAATTAATTTTGAAAACAAAACAAGGAAACTGCAGTTTGACAGTTTTGTTCGGTGTTGTTATGACTTGGCCAGGACTTGCTATCCTGCTTGTTTTTGTCATTTTACCACCCAGAAACAAAAGTTAATTGTTGACTTGCCTAGTTCTCCTTGCCAGGATTCATAACAGAATGTTAAACTATGGCCAACATATTTCGCCAAGAAGAGAATTTCTCCCAAAATGCACTTCTGAGCTTCAAGGAAAACTGCATAAGCATCTCTTGTTGCTCCCGAAGCTCACAGTCTCTGAACTTTTTAAACAATTAAGTTTCTGGAATAGCCCAAGTACAACAATGTGCCAGTTTTGTTACAGAATTCCAATTGCATAGTCCACATTGCAGCGTAAATATTTAAAATCTGTTGCTCATAAGCCTGATCGGATTTTCTTAATTGAAAGGATATACGAGTATGAAGTTAAAATTTGTATAAAAGAAAATGCTTTTCAACTATTGGATTTTAAAAAGTTAATATTAGATTTAAACCCTTTAAAATCAATTGGTTGGAAGCTTTTCTGGTGTTTTTAAAAGAGTATCTATTACCAATTATATTCGAGCATCCGAATAGTCGTTGTTTAGGAGGTTATCATATCCATTTCACTGATGAAATGTTTCACATGAATTTTTAATTTAGTCGATTTCGGAGTGAAGTGCATCAACTAACGACCGGACTAAATAAAAAAAACAGGAGAAATACTAATCCAATGCAGAGTTTCTCTTGTTTTTTTGTCGGATTTTTTTTTTGATGAGAATCTGATGGATGGGAGGGTTTTGTGTTGTATTGTACGAGATGTTGTCCGACATCCAAAAAAGCAAATCTCTGATGACATTTGTCGAGTGTTTGAACATAATTCCCTCCGATGCCAATCTGCATGCAGCTAGTTGATGCCCCTCACTCGGATGGATGTTCATGGATTATCTGATTTTCGTGTTCTGGCAGAGCAATCGGTATTCTTGTAAATAACATAACTAGTTTAGTGAGAGAGGTCAGGTAAGGTAACTAAATGCCAATCTAAAAAATAATGGTTAACGGTGAGGAGGAGAGACTAATTGAAAGGCGATAACCTGGCTTTTGTTTCTGAGTTTGCATGTTGTTCTTTGTTACTTGTTGATTGTTTTTTTATAATTTCTAAGGAGTTTATTTATAATTTATTTAATAATCTTTAAAATATCCACAGTATTGAGGGTGGAGAACTATTCGATCGCGTTGTAGACGATGAGTTTGTTCTTACGGAGAGGGTCTGTCGAGTCTTTATTCGCCAAGTGTGTGAAGCCATGGCCTTCATCCACGGCAATGGCATCATCCACCTGGATCTGAAGCCCGAAAATATTCTGGTGCTCACACAGAAGGGAAATCGCATCAAGATCATTGACTTTGGTTTGGCTCGCAAATTCGACCCAGACAAGCGCCTCAGGGTAAATATTTAACTCAACCAAATATTTGTTCAATAAAAACTCAACAAAAATGTTATGGCTATTTCCAGGTACTCTTCGGAACACCTGAGTTTGTGGCCCCAGAGGTTGTAAACTTTGACTGCATCTCTTATGGCACGGATATGTGGAGTGTCGGAGTTATTTGTTATGTGCTGTAAGTGTTTAATTTTTACTCCCTGACAGTGGTTACTGCATTACAAACCTTCCAAGGAATTAAAAGTTAATTGTCTCAAAAGGTGTGCTTAGCCAGACTCAATATTTTCAAACAATTTGCATTCTGGCAGTTGGAAATTTAATCAGAACCTCCTTTCATATCCAAAGGGTTGCTGCCGTGGCAGAAAACCAATTAAAAATTTTGTACCATCTGAAAATATAATAATCAGAAAGGGTAGCTCCTGCTCCAGTCCCTTCGTGTATCTCCTTGTTTCTTCTAAGAAGTGTGGGCAAATTTAATTTAGTTAATTAAGTGTTGGTTTGTGTTTTTATTTATTCTACTTACGTTGCTTTTACATTTTATGTTTATTGACTTTGCCACACCCCCACACCCACTTACCCAACTCACACACAAAATACACACATGATATGTTGCGGTGTGGCATGCTACATGGTACAGCATCTCAGGACTTTCGCCATTCATGGGCGAGAACGACATTGAAACAATGTCAAATGTAACCATTGCGAAATACGATTTCGAGGATGAGTGCTTCAATGGCATATCCCCGGAGTGTCTGGATTTCATAGCCAAGTTGCTGGCAAAGGACCTCAGGTGGGTGGTGGTTGTAATTTTCCTCCTAATTAGAGTCTGGTTCTGAGACTTCATCATCTCGATTTGAATTCCCTCCCCCGCAGCACCCGCATGACAGCCGCCGACTGCATGAAGCACAAATGGCTGCAACAACGTCCGGCAGCCGCCGCCTCCGCCAATCCCATCACTAAGGCCATCTCCTCGGCATCCAAGACGCGTCTGAAGTCAGAGTCTCCGGCGACAGTGAACTCAGAGGACTCCTCGGAGGAGTCCACGGAAACCATTGAGGACGATGACGACGAGGAGCCGGTACAGGAACAGAAAAAGGTGGGCGTTGCTCCTAACAAACTTGAGGACAGCGAGCAGGACGAAGAGCTGGCCAAGCTCTGCAATGTTGGCGACCAAGAGGTAAAGTAATACTACCTCTTAGAAGTAGGCTCTTTAATTGAAACCATGATCTTACCCTTCTTTCCTCAGAATAAAGAGCTGGATGCCACCAAGGATAATCTTAAGAATTTCATCGTCCGCTGGGAGACGCATCCAAACAGCCCGTACGTATTCGACGTGGAGGGCAATGTGATTGCGCCCCTGAGCGAGACCAGCTATCCGCATCCGCGTCGGACTCATGGCCCGGACAGCATGTCCTCCTCCCGAGGTGAGTACGGATCCCAGCGACAGCGCGACCGACACGCCCTCATCCACGGCAAGTGAGGCGTCCGCATCTGCAACTGCATCCTGCAACCGGATCAACATTGTATATTACACGATTAACTTGTCAAACTAATTGTTGTTCTTAACTTGAATGTATACCAAGTTGGCCAGTTCCTTCTCGCTCTTTCTCTCCGCCCCTCTCTGTTTATCTTCTGTCTCTGTCTCTGTGTTAACCCCCAACTCTTCTATAAAGTCCTTACTGAGCAGGGAGGGGGGCCAGCTTGCCGGCTAGAACTGTTGTTTATGTTTAAGTAACCGTAGCCTTAAGAAAAGTGACTGGGCATCCTTATAGCGGATTCCCAGCTCAATTAACCATTTTGACACTGTGATAATGACAGCCATTGACATAAAAAAAATACTGAAAAATATATCCGAAATATAATTCAAATTCAAACACAACGATACTTCTCTATAGTTTCTGTGAGACATGAAACCAAACTTTAAACTTCCTTAAATCCCAATCCCAAAAATCCGCTCCACTCCCACTCCCAAAATCAAAAGCTACCCAAAATCCACTCGATCCCCGATTCAGGTTTAGATCAGCACACATATAGCCATAGTCTCTGGTCTTCCAGCCAGGTAAGCCCAACATCCAGCTCCAGACAATCCATCATCCTCAGAGTTTCGCAGTCAAATTCCAAAGTCAGTTTCATGTTCATTTGTGATTTGTCCAAGAGGGGGATACCTCAGTATCAGGAAAAGTAAAAACCTACTTTAAAATATAGTTATTTTTATAAATTTCTAATTAATGGTTTTAAAATCTTGAAGGACAGTTTTGGAAAATAGTCTTGATTCTAGAAGCTTTTCATCAAAATTTTCACTTTCATAATCAAAGAATTAAACATTATCCTAGACTCTACAGAACTCATAAGCATGATCTGTATATTACCTGTACTTGGCACTTCATGTTCACTAACCTCTCTGTAAACTTGTATTTGGCTATAACCCTGATAACTTCCACTAACAAATCTAATCCATCTCTATGTGAACTAAATATTTATACACTTCACCAACACCTTCTAAAAGACCTCTTCATAATTCCAGTTTGTTCTCCATCGCCTTGCGAATCGATTGCCACCATGACCGATGATGAACGAGGGGAGGACTTGCCGGAGGAGGAGGAGGCCCGCAGTGCGGATAACGAGAGTCCGCGGTCCCTGGCCACCCCCATCAACGAGTCCCGGGAGAAACTGTTCCCCACGGTGGCCACCTCCAGCCCAGCCACGCCCACGCCGCAGCACCTTTTCAATGAAAACTTTGACGAGTTCTCCGGCAGCCAGTCCACCGCCCAGCAGCAGAGAAGCATGAAGAGCTATCTGCACACCTTCGATCGCCGGAACTCGGACACTACCTACCTCCTGGGGCGTCGCAGTTCTGGAGAGCGTGTTAACCTGGCGGACGAGATACGGAAGCTATCCGATCACCTGTTCATGCTGGCGCAGATCAACACCAAGCTGGGAGATGCCAACAACAACAGCACTACCCCAGAAGCTGCAGCAGCCCCTAAATCAGCTCCTCCAACTCCATCTCCGTCAGTCGCTCCAGTTACCGCTCCCGCAAGCAGCAGTTCCAGCAAGACCAGCGAGACCACGCAGGAAGGCAACCGCTGGACCAGCAAGACCACCTCGAGCAGCAGCTGGAACAGGCCCACACCCCGGGGAGGGCTTCTCAGCCAGGCCAGCAGCAGCTCCCAGAGCCAGACGAGCTACGACGATGGCCAGGGCAAGACCAAGATCAGCTCGCTGTCCGTTAGACTGCAGCAGTCCATTGAGGAAACACCGACGCTGAGGAATGGTAGCAGCTCCTCGGTCAAGTCCCAAATGCAAACACAAACCCGAAAATCCACAGTGAATACAATGACCAGCTCGAATGCCAGGAGCACCAGCAGCCAGCATGTACAAAGGAGCAGCACCACCGCCTCAAAGGTGATCTCCAGCAGCAGCAGCAGCTCCACCAGCACAACCGCCACCTCGAACCACCAATTCATCAACGAATCCGCCAGCAGTCGGCGGGCCAAGTTCCGGATAAATCAAATGAGCCGGGACGTGCCCGTTGGACTGCCGGACACCCACCAGACCGTGAACCTGGAGGAGGCGGCCAACACCACCAAGGACTGCCTGCTGCATCTGCTGGAGAAGTACAACGAGACCAGAAGCCGGAACCCGATGGGCCGGCATCAGAGCATTAGCGTGGACTGGCACGTCAGCGACAACCTGGAGTACCGGTCGATGAGCTCCATCAATGCGTTCTTCCAGCGGCACAACCACAATGGCGGGGGGCAGAACGTGCGGCACATCCAGGCCCAGCTGGAGGAGAAGGCGGCGGGGAAGTAATTTCCTCCTCGTAGTATCACCTACCGGGAGTCCCCTGTATATATCCGATATATATATATTTGTATGTGTAGAACGGATCGGCGGAAGCGAGAGCTCACCTAGATAATGGAAACTAGTTAAAGCTACAATGTTGCGAATAAAAAATAATATTTATGTTTATGTACTTGAAGTAAGCAATAAATCAAATTAATTTATCAAAATAAAATGAAAATTGAATTTAAATATGGAGTTTTAACTAAAAAATAGTACTGCAAAGAAAAACAAATCATAATAATAAAGACATCAATTACTACCGACTAAAAAATCAAAACAATTTATTGCAAAAAAAAAAACAAATCTAATTATGAATCGAATACAAAATGCATTAAACTATATCATACAACTACTGCTGCTACAACCAAAGCAATGAATATGAATTAGGATCGAATAACAAACATTTAATAGTTATGTGTTTATATAAGAGAACAGGGAGCTTTGTTTTTGCCTTTTTTTTATTGAAGAATGCGTTTTTTTATGACTTAATTATACATCGAATATCTATACATATAAATATTAGGAGAATACTTTGGATTTGTTCTTAGTTATGCCTTACAAATAGATGCTTTGTATAAATGTGGTTAGGATAGGCTCTGCCTATGTGTAAAGTAAAGTATGCTAGCATTTGTACATGATAGTTTTTGGCAAAATTGATCCTATAATTTGCCCAGAGATCATAGCAAATCATAAAATACATTTTTACCGCCGGTTAAGAGCTGATAGCGCGGCAATTCGTGTTCATTTGACTAAAAGCTTGATTAACTTTCAGCCAAAGGATCAGGAATTGGCACACACAAGTCAAGCTGTTCGTTTTCGTTTTATTCACTGGTCGAATTAAGGAATTAATTTTAGGTGGACGAAAAAACAAGGCAACAATCAGCCAAAGTAAGCCGATTGTGGCGTCGTTCTAGCTCCTTAAGAATTCAATTCAAAATTCAAGTCTGTTCTGCTTTTTAACTGATGGCTAAGTTTTAATCCTAAGCTACCGGAAACAGAACAGAGATGAGTTTTGTTATACAAAATACAGAAATTCACAAGCAAAAGTTGGCAGAAAGTTATATAAAGTTAGTATTTCATTCGTTATAAAGGTTAAATTTTGTTTGGCTTCACGATATTTGAGACTAATTCCATTTAGCTTGCGGTCTCGCCTTCCTACACTCCTCTCTTCTGGCTCAATAGTATAGTGTTTGTTGTTAAGAACTAATCACTTAGTTTATGGCATTTCTCACTAGAGAAATCTAGAGAAAGTTTCATTTATCCCTTACGAGCTTACAATGTGGCTTACAACTAATTACTGGTTACGAGTAATTGAAGACTAACGATTAATATTCGCAACTGTCGCCCTTGCACTGCATAAAAAGGTTGTTCGTAATAAAAGTTTAGGAAATACTACACAATCGCAGTGACTTAAAAAAATTATAAAAATAATATTACAATTGCAATTCGGTGGGTGGGCCAGCGAACCAGCGACATTAGTTGTGGCGCGGGCGCTTCAGCATGGCCCCCAGGTGCGCCAACCCGAATCCGGCACTGGAGCTGGCGGACGACGAGCTGGGCGAGCTGGTGCGCAGGCGTTTTGCGGGCGATAGTTTCTTGGGAGCCTGGGCCAATCGCTTGCGCTCCTTCATGAATTCTGCAAAACGAAAAGAACAGAAAATGGGCGTTATTATGACGTCAAATTGGTAAATCAAAGTCAGCTGCTGCACTTCCGGTCTTCGGTCTCAGGTCTCCCCTGTTCGCATGTCATTGATCCCGAAAACAGCAGGCGCCGCCTGTTTTTGCACATTTTGATTTCGGTTTCGGGCAGATCCCTAGATTGTGGCACGTGGCCGGCATCCGCTGATCCTTGCCAAGGGTTGCAGAGCCTGATGCCGCATTCGGGGGTAGCAAACAAATGCCAGACGGCAGCCAGACAGTCGGTCTTTAGCCGGTTTTTCAGGTAGGCAAGTGAAAGCAAGAGTGGCGGCTGCATAGCTGCATAAATTACACGCTCTCTAGAGTCTATGTAGCTTGCCGGCCACTGAAAAGTCCAGCCGAAAGTACAGCAAGTCGAGGCTTTAAAGGCTTCCCAACTGGCCACCACGATGCGGGTGCATTTATAATGCCCAGAACAGACACTTTTTATGATTGTAATTACACATGCATATGCGAGTGGCATTTACTAAAAAAAAAAGAGACTGGCACTTACAACAAAAAGCGAACTACAAAGCAATCAAAGGGAGGTTTGATAAGGCCTCTATGGATGGTGGTGCATTGAAAGCCGATCCCCATCCCCCTCCCAGGGCTCTCCCTTTTTTTCTGTAATGAGGTCAGGCCATAGACAAAGCGGAGTCACAGCTGTTGGCATTTATAGATGCACGCAGCCAGTTATCCAGCCCAGCCCGGCCCAGCCAGCGACCCGCATGCGATCGATCTGTGAAACCAACCCCCGCGCAGCCGAGGATCAGATCAGTGTTCTGTGGGGAGATGAGGTGCCGGAACAGCTGCGGCCAGCTTTGGAAATCGTAACCCTTTTTAAGGAAAATAAATCTCCCATAAAGCAGCAACTAATTGCTATAATTTGGGGTTCAAGTTGGAGGAAACAACGCCCACAACGTACAGATCCCACAATGGGACAATAAAATATCCTTTTGAGGGGAAAAGTGGTTGGTAAAACCAAAAGCTAAACTGCCAGTAACCGCCTACAAGCGTAATTGCTTGGGAACCAAATATAAACAGGAGCGAACCAATCCATAACGAATATCGGAGTGCAATCAAGCCTGACTCTGGGAACGGTCAAGCTCTAGTGGCTTCAATCAACCCTCGTTCGAGACTCACCTGTGATTTTTGGCTGTCGCTTGCGCAGGACTGTCGAGGACGTGGAGGCTATGTTGCTGGACAATCGCACCGTGAGCGACTCATCCTGTGAGTCGTAGCAGGAGTCGTTGTCGGTGTTGGACTCCAGCGATGAGTTGACCAAGTTGGAGCCCAAGTTCTCGCGCTCGGATCGCTCGTTCAGCAGGGTGTCCATGTCGCTGGGACTGCTCTCCACGGGACGGACGTGAGCGGCACGGGTTAGGGTGTACATTTCCGGGGCGAAGCTCGACTCCTGGAAGCTGACGCGCTCCCAGACGAAGGGCGACTTCTCGGCCAGGGGGCAGCCGGCACGGAAATCGAATCCCCACTTCTGCGTGGCCATCTCCTGGTGGCGCTCCAGTTCGGCATTGAAGGGCCTTCAAATGAAATTTCGTTAGTTTGGACAAATCTTGAGGGAGATGCAAGTGCAAGAACTTACAATTTATTGGTGCTGCTCTCCGAGGAGTTGGAGCTGCCGAAGAGGTCACGTTTGATGCGGTTGAGCTGGCGGCCGCAGGGAAGGTTGCGACTCACAGCCGGGCTGGTGCTCATTTTGCAGAATTCACTCAGCATGACGGGATTCAGAACGCGTGCACTAACCATGTTGACTGTATCTCTGTATCCGTATCTCTGTTTTACACTCTCTGTTTTGGGGCCACTTGTTTGCGAATCGCACACCAAAGCGAGCTGTCAAACTTTTGGCGCCAAAATCTTTGTTTTCGGGCTGCTCCACCAGCGAGAGCGGGAGCGAGAGAGCAACAGTCTCCAACGCACGCACACACACACACACAGATGCGAGGTCTCCAAGCCAATGTGTGTGGCTGCGAGAGGGTTTATGTACGTACGAGTTACGAGTGTGTGTTGTGGCAGTCTATTTTGCGTTTTGCACTTGATTTAAAAGTGAAATTGTATCTCGCAATTGTCTATTCAGTAATTATAAACAAATCTATGAATGGCTTTGCACTTGGTAACCAATTGGATACAGAAGATTGTTTGTAAACTGCACTGCACTCTGTGGGATAGCTATGTGTCTCTTCGAGGGAGCACTGGGAACTGATACGATATGTCGCCTTCTAACAGCACACTTCGATCCGTAGTGGTTTATACAACTTCTCAGCGTTGTAATATCAACGTTCGTTCAGTTTTTATTTAACTTATTTCAAAAATATATAGCGCACTGCGCACTGGGCTATACCGATCGGGACGAGGTCGAAAAGAGGAATAAACAGCTAGCGAAGAGGCGAGCAAAAGCAAACGTCAAACAACCACCGCACCAGAGTTGGCAGCGCCGAGGGAATATGCTTCGCGCTCTCTATGCCGCAACCCTCGAATTCAAAAATGATCCAAAGGAGGGGGAAACTGCATTAAGAATGGGGGAGCGAAAGAGATAGGGACTGGTGTGTGGTTGGTTCTTGATAGGATTTTATTTCAAAAGATTGTCGAATGGGTAATGCACTTTCTTCGACTTTCATTTAAACTTGTTATATATATTCTTCAAGTTTTCTAAATAAGAGTAAGAAAAGGGTTTATAAAGCTACATTTTTAAAAAAATAAGTATTATTTTAAGGGTATTCTTAGTCGGCTTGTTTCCCTATACTCTCACTTCGATTCGCTCTCGTTGCTCGCTACCAATGCTCTTCCATCCTCGTGGTGGCTCCGTTCTGTTTGTTGTTGCTGCATCGGTGGAGCTGTACTTTTCACTGCGATGAGTAGATAAAAAAAATATAATGTTTTGGCTTCAGTTTGTTTGGTTCCAAACTGGATTTCTGGCTGCCCATGGGGCATGGAACGAACGGGGGGGCGAGCGGCTTGATGGGATTTGGGGCACAGTTTCTTTTCACTTTCCTCCCGTTGCCAAGGGCCGAATTGCACATAATATAGGCCACCGTTACAACGTTCGTTTTTCAAAACCATTATTAGGAAGTTACCATAGTAATCAGGTTTTCAAATATCCGTTACATCGGTCTTAAAGTTTCTTTCCTTTTTTGTTAAAATTTCTTGAAATTTAACTTTTTCACATTCTATTTATGTGCAAAATCGTAAAAAATTAAATTACACTACCCAAAGCAATAAAACGAGATTTATATTATTTGCTTAAATCCAATTATAGCGAAAACAAAGAGTCGAACAAAACCCTGAAAGTCAGATCCTGAGACTAAAGACATCATTTGCTTTGTCCCTTTGCACTCGACGAAATAATGGGAAAACCTCTTGGCTTTTCCTCACAAAACCTCATGGAAAAAATGGGTAAAAAAAAATGGGATTCTACAGCCGGGTCCCTGGAGTGCAATCACCCCAAAAAAGGCAGAGATCGTTTGTCGATCGTTCGATTAGGCAGCATCATCCGAACCTTCCCCTGTGGTTCCGTTTTTTGTTTATGGGACACACCCTCCCTCTTTTTGAAAAGAAAAGCAACGTGAATTTACACACTTTATAACAAATTTGAGAATTCTACTGGCGTTCGGTTGCAGTCATGCCTGAAAACATAAACAACTCAAGGAGTTCTTACCGAAAGGGGGAAGGAGTTCGTGATCCCTTTAAGTAATTTCCTCCCGTACAGGATATCCTGGCGACTATATCGCTTATATGGGTTGTGTCAACACAAACACGCGGAAAAAAGGCGTAGAAAAGAGGTGGAAAAGTGCTTCCCAGGATGGGCTGTTCAAGTGTCCTGTATTATAAGGGCAGATCTTAAAGGATTGTCGTGACATGTGCGGGCACTAGAAGACATACTCAAGGTATTCAGTTGATTAGATACCTTAATGCTGGTTGGGCTAGTCCATGATCCCGGGATCTTATCAGCAATTCACCATTATGCCCTCGACAATACACACTGAGCCGATAAGAACTTGGACAAACATCATCTATGTGGCGGGGTCGAAGGTCGCGGTCGGCAAGACACTATCTCGTATCTAATGAAACCTCAACGGCGTCCTGATCTTGTATAAAATATACGTTACACTCATTTCGAATGCAACGCGTCTTATCGCCTCAGCACACCCAGTCCATTTCACCCCAGCAGGAGGGCCAAGATATCCCATATCCCACTCTATATAGTAAGCAATATCGGAACTAAAAAGTAAGCTCAATGTGCCACGTGTTCCGGTGGGGGTGAAATGTTCAGCGACCATGACCAGGCGGCTAAGTAACGCTCGAAATTGCCGTAAGATATTTTTCAAAAATTCTCGATTCTAAAAGAAAATTACCATAAAAACGAAACAGTTCACGGAACTGTGACCGCAATTTCTAAAATTTTGCTGGGCAGGTGTGCCAAGGCTAAGGATATTTCAAGGGTTTGGCCCAAAACATTTTTGTGGGAGGGTTTCATTAACAAATTTTTAAGGAGAAAGGGAGCTAACTTATGTTTTTGGAATATAAAAGGTCAGACAAATGGGAATTTTTATATTTTAAGATCACGGGGCGGTAGATGAAGTACAAAATATAAGAGGTATCTAAGTGTTACACCCAACCATATCCAGGAGGAACGATATCCATCCTCCTACCCTTTCTTGACCAATTCATAGTATCCTAAGCGTAAAACCCATTTATAAAACTCACAGTCTTAATCACAGTGATCCCTATCAAAACAGAAACTGTCTGAAAGATCTTTACAAGAAGTGCTACAGGACATTTCTCACTAGAAAATGACCGATCATTAATATTACAAAATCTCTGCCCAGGACATTTATAAATGATTTCTACTTATCTAGGATCTTTTGCTTGGACAAATTGCGGTCAGATCGGGGAGTTATTGATGGATTTCTGGGAAAGAGCAATGCAAATAGACTCTTAAATATGCAAATATTTGGACTGGCTACCGGGGAGCTGGCTAATCCTTTGCTGATCCTGCGGCTACTGTGCTACTTTCCATTAAAATAATCAATCAGAGAGAAAGGCACTTGTGGTGACCACGAAGAAAAACTAGCATGACGACTCATTTTATTGGGACAAACACACAAGGAGGTTTGGGTGAAAAGGTTCCTCTGTTCCTGGTAAACGCGTGGAAAACGTGTTTTGCCTGCGAGGAACTCGTTTTATCAGCTCAGAAATTATAAATATTTATGGAAAACGATTTGAGGAGAGCAAACCCAGAGAAAGATAAACAAACAAGACGCCGAGGAGTCAAGAAGTTGTCAAAAATCTTAGGTCAGGAAAGCAGAGCGCTCTGAGCTGCTGCACGTGTATCTTTTGCTTCGCATCTGAATCTGTATCTGTATCTGTATCTGGCACTGATTTTGCCTCAGTATCTGTATCCAATGTTTGCCTCGGAACAACCCCCCAAAGAACTGAAATTTGAGGGAAACTGGAGTTACTTTTTGGATACGCATTTAGTGAGGGATACGCATTTGCTACCCCCAACTCCGGCGAGGCGACCAAAGTCAAATAATAATAAAAACGTATTTATGACTGCATTGGGTGAGAAAGACCATAAAGCAGCGATGCAATCAGCGTCGAAGAAAAAATCAAACAACCTTTGGAAATCCTTTCGAAAATCATCCAAGAAAACAGGTTGGAAAAAAGAAGAGTGCGTGGTAACGCAACCATAAAAAGGTAGCAGGTAGATCGACGGTCTTTTTTGGGGGGGGTTTCAATCACAAGACGAATTTATTAGACGGCCCAGAGCAAGACGGTAAGACCAAGAGAAAGGGACAAAAAGAGAAGGATCGTGACCCTTTTTCTCCGTTTTGATTATGGGGAATGAACAAACTGAACCTCGGGAACTGAAATAAAACGAACTGAGAACCAGAAACTGAAATTGAATGAGAATTATAATCAGATTCTGAAACTGAAGCTGGACCTTTGGTGGCCCAGCATAGAGGGTACTCTTTGTACCCGAGTACAGTTGTGTGGTTTGACTAACTGATAGAGTCCTCCGCGTCTTCTGCGTCCTCCTCGTCATCTGCTACCTCCGGGTCCTCCGCATCCTCCGCGTCCTCCGCGACCTCCGGGTCCTCCGGGTCCTCCGCGTCCTCCTCCTCCTCCTCCTCATCATCCTCCTCATCCTCATCATCCGCATCTTCGCTGCTGCAGCCGTCCATGGAGCTGGCCCACAGACCGTACTTTTTGCCCACATTTTGCTGCCACAACATCATTTCACCACTGCAGGAGGCACTGGCATAGACCTCGCCATCGGGACTGTACCCGACACAGCAGATGGGATCGCCCTTGTGGGCAAAGAAGCTGTCCAGCAGATTGTCCGTCACGTAGTCGTACTTGTTCAGCCGACCATCCGCAAGGATGCAGATATAGGACTCCTTATTCGGGTGCAAGGATGCACCAGACACCTTGAAGTCCAACTTTCGCTGGCTGAGGACATTAAACTTTCTGGTATCCAAGAAGATGACGCTGTTGCCGTAAGCTATGGTCACGATATTGTTATCAGCGTTGAGTTCCAGGGACTTGGCGTGGTGAGGCACGACAATCGAATGAGTTTCCATGCCGCTCACGTAGTCCCACATCCTTACGGTGCGATCGTAGGACGAAGTGAGAATCGAGAAACTGTTCCGACAGAAAATGGCATTCCTCACGCCCCTCGAATGTCCACTCAAAGTCATCAATGGTATCCCACCAGCCCCATTAAGATCGAACAGAGTGACAATGGGGTCTTCTCCCAAGCATCCAGTCACCAATAGTGTGGACTTATCGTTCAAGTCCACACAGGACACTCCTTCCGGGAGCAAAAACTTTTCCAGCTCATCGCCAGTGACTGCACACCAGATGCGTGCTGTTTGATCACCACTGCCACTGGCCACTAGGGTGGCGTCGTCATTCAAGCACACGCTCCAAACTCCGGCCTCGTGGCCAGTCAAGGTGCCGACCCAGTCTCCAGTGTCACCATGTCGCAGTACCACCAATTTGTCGAGTCCTGCTGAGGCTAGGTAGTAGCCCGATTCGCAGACCTTGCTGAATCCCATCTCCACCACGCCTTTGGAGTGTCCTTCGCAATTAATGCCCAACTGACCGCAAGACATATTGTATCCAAAATTAGAAAATAACAACAGAATCTTATACGTTAAAATTATTTTAAAAATTTGCCAAAAATTGATGATAAAACCTGATGTTCGTTTCACGAGAGACCGTAAGTATATGTGACTATAGGTATATAGGGTTTAGGATTTGGATTTGCTATTTAATGATCGGCTTGCTTATTTTAAAGGGATTAAAATTTTTGAAAATCTGGGAGCAGTATCTCTGCTAGGAATTGGTGTTTTCTATCTACAGCTTCAACACATATTCCCCAAACTCGAGCCTGCAATAAACTCCAAACTATATGCCATCGTCTGCCAAAAGCTTCCTTGCCTTTTTCCTTGCCACTTTTAATTTAATAGAAAGCACACATCCCGGGGGTTAGAGAGCACGTTGTGCCAAACTCAGTATCAGTCATCACTTGTTAATCTCACTTAAACGTTTCAACGGATATTGTATGGCCCGCACACACTTTTTGGCAAACAGCGGAGGAGACTGGCAACTTTGTCGGCAAAGGAGCCAACGAGCGCCAGGATATTAGCAAGGTGCAAGCTTAGAGGAGTCTGCAAGGACGGAAGGACGATGACGTAATGTATATTAAATGCACTCGAGGAGATTCAATTCATATTTCAGAACGTTTTGCTTTCATTATGCGGCCGAACAAAGGAGACTCTCAGGCACGAGCTCTGCCCTCGAGTGGATCCATTTCACCTTCCTGCTCACCTGAGATAATTTTCCCCGTGTGTGTGTGTGGGGGTGTGCTCGGATGACACCTGTGCATACACAAGCAGGCGAAGCAGCAGGCAGCAGGCTGACAATGCTGCGGATAAGAAGCATCTCCCAACACCTTTTGGCAATCTTTGACTTTGTACCTGAACCAATTGTGCGGGAACAGGACCAAAAAGAAAACAGGAGCACGAGTCGGTGGCAACCGCAAGACTAACAGAAACACGCCCGCAATTGACTCCATTTCACTTTCACACAAAGTCGCAAGGATAGTCCTTTCAAAACAACACAAGGACTCTAATGCAGTGCAACAAAAAGTAAAGAATTTAATCTTATTATATGGAGGATATTATTTATGAACCAAAACTTGCTCTAAAAAATTTAGAAAATGTACCATTTAATTAAAAATTAAAGTTTAAATAGTTTCATAATATTTGCAATAAACTCTTAAAGTTTTTCTTGGTGTTGAGCTGCTTCTTGAGGTAAAATTTAGTCGCAGCCTTTTCGAGTTTGAAGGAAATTAAACGGATTTCCTCGAGAGCTTTTCTTGACAATGTGTGCCCAGGTAGTTGCCCAAGGACATGCCATTGTCAAAGAGTCTGCTAATTAGATTTATTCTTAAAAAAAACTTTGGAAATCTGATTTCAATGAAAGCTGAATTGAATGGAGCTCCGATGCCTTAATATCTACACAATAGAGTAGTTTAATCAGTATTAATGTTTTTCATTCAAAAATTCTGTTAAAAATGAGTTCCCATAACCCATTAACCCGCATTTACCATCTCTTGAAAAATATTTGAAAATGCATTAATAATAATTAGTATTTTGAAGTGAAACTCAACTCAAGGAAATGCCAACTCATGTCATTAATGGTCTGTTTGGAAAATTAAATTTGAGCCTCAGGAACAACATTAGGGCGTGGTCAGCAGGATATCTAGGTTCATTTGTCAGTCAAGTCAGTGTCTAAGGACTCTGTCCAATGTCAGCAAAAAGTATCAGTGGGAAATTCATCGAATTTTTAGCGAATTTCTGGCCATCAAAATATTTACTGGGCTCATAAAGTTGAATATTTTACGACGAGTCGTCGGAAATTCTTTATATCTAATTGCATATAATTTTTATAGGACATCAACGGGGAACAGGAGCAGCATCAGCAGGAGCTGGACGCGAAATCAGCAAGGGGTAAGGACGATAAGGACGAGGGGAGTGGCCGGAGTGGCACTCCCATTGAAAATGAGCGACCAGACAGCAATCTGTCCGGGAATCGTGAGTTTCCATTTTCATATACCCAAAGACTTTCCTTTCCTTCGCAAAACTGTCAAGACAAATCAATAAACTTCTAATTTTATTACGGTGCCCGATGGAGAGAGCGAACGCTACAGATACCGATCTGTCACTTTCCATTGTCAATTTGACAATTGATATCTCACACATCATTTGGCTCGAGTGCGCACAATGAGATTGTTTATGCCATTTTTGGGTAAGCGACTTGCAAAATCTTTCATACCCCTGGGTAGGCTCTAGGGCTCCGTGATATTCGCAGGGGTTCAGGGGTCTTCAGGTATCGTCCTGCCAGCTTTCTTCCTTTCACTCTGGGATGGCTCTTCGGCTTTCCTTTTCCCGAGGGTTGTCGTAACTTGCGGTTTTGCTTGAGAAATTGCCACGATTTTTCCGCATTTTCTGCCAGCATATTGTTGGGTTTTTCTTCCGCCTCTGGTCAGAGTTCAAATATGGGACCATTGACTAATGACATCATGTCCACAAATGTTTGCATAATCCTCCAAAGTGATCGGATCGGCTTTTCTGGGTCAATGTGCTGGTCGATTGTGTGGTCGATAATGAGAGGAGAAAGTAGTCGGGGAGAAGGTGAAAAGGTCCAGTCTTAATAATGAGTATTATGATCTAATTTGGTTAATTAGTGTAAGTGGATTCTAAAGAAATATTCGATGATTTGTATATTATTTTTGGGAATTAAGTTAAGCCATCTCATGAAAGACTTATGGAGAATACTACTACCTATAGTACTTTCCTTAACATTCTCTCATATTTAATAACCCTTATTTTTCATGAAACTACTGATCACTTTTCTAACTTTCCCATAAATCCCGTTGTAAGTCCCTTGTAAGCCCTCACTAAATTATGCAAAAAGCAACGCTCTACATCATGTTAAGGACTCGAGTGATCAATCGCAGCAATTTCTGACACTTTCGCAGGACGATCCTCTCGAGGACAATAGGAGAAAGCCGTCGCTGTACCAGTTTTCGAATTCGCCATGCCTGTCGCCTTGGATTTTCTTTTGCCGATCTGCTGGAGATCAATCAAAGTTGGTCACGCTGTCGGGAATTATGTCACTCGCTTTCTCAAATTGCAAGGCAGGACGCGGATGATGATGAACTGGCTTTCCTGACTGACGGTTAAACTGATTTGCATATAGGTGTACATGTATGGCGAACTGAGAGTTTTCCCCGGCAGCTGTGTGATTCAGTTTTTCCTCACATCTGAGGTGGTTGGTTCGGAAAACTTGCCCTGACAAAGATTGAAAGTTTTTTCCAGGGTTTTTTATAAAATTTTGTATGTGATTTTTTTCCTGTCCATTCTGTCAGCGCATCAATCATAAACTTTATGTTTGCATCTTTAAGGCAGGCGTTTTCCAAAACTATCTTTTGTAATTTTTTGAATACTTTTCGCAATTAGGTAAAGTCTGTTTAATTGAAAACCAGGTTATTTGATACTTTCCTGGCCCTAACCCTTTTCCATTTATATGGTAATGTGGCGGTGAAAGCGAATACTTTTGCGCCTGCGCAGATGTGAGAACTTTGGCTGACCAAACTAAGACTAAATAAGACATCCATTGGGATTACGAGTAGTTTTGCTGCTAAATCAGGCCAATTTCAGCACATCCCTCTACCATATATCAATCAATTGTCAAGGCCCATAAACGATTTTATAATGGGATTCGGTGGCCAGCTGCCAGAATGTGATATAAAATACGATCCTGTCGCACCAAAGCCTCTCACGATGGGCATACCAAAATCGCACTTTATGGCCATATAAAATTGCCATCCTCGGCCCAAAAACAGATGTGTCAGTACCTCAAGGAACTGCCAAATTAAATCCAAGACTCGTGTAAGTCCAGAAATTATGAGACGTCTCCGTCCCCCGGCCGACTTCCACTTTTATTGGGACTTCCTGTGAACCGAGCGCTCCACTAATTGCTCGAAGGATGCGACATCGCCAAGACAGGAAGCGGAAACTAAAGTGGACGAGGGTGGGTAGTTTCTGTCTTTCGGTCTTTCAGTCGGTCCTCTAACTAAATGACTAGCATACCAAACAAAACACACGCAATCTCCTTAAGCAAATTTAAATTACGTGAGCTCCGCTTCGCCCCGGGTGCATTCATTAAACGTCTGCCCGATAATTAACGCCCTTATGTCCCCGACTATATAGCATAATAACAAAAGCAGGAAAGAGCAGTCGGGAAAAGTGTCCCGGCTGAGAGACAGTTTTTCATTTCCATTGTCCTGCGTCCGAGGGCCATTGTGACTAATTGATTTGCTCAAACAAATGTCCCGCCGCTTCCCTTAATTTGCAGAGCTACCTTCTTGACTCGAAACTATTCGAATTTGCGGCGGCTAGTTAATAGCATTCTAATGCCGCTCTGAGGAGATTTTTGTAGGAAAACAAAAGGAAATTTGTTATGGGAAGCCAAAAACCAATAAATATCAAACATAGAATAAAATCTGGCTTTGATTTTTGCTCAAAGATAAATTTTGAGCCAAGGCAATAAATATTTTGCAACTAATATCCTGAAAAGTCTAGTAAATTCAATCAACTAAACTAAATAAAATGTCTCCTAAGACATCTTAAATTTCTTTAACTTATGTATGCAAATACATAAATAAATCGTTCACTCTTTTATTAGAAAACTGAAATTTAATTAAGTTTTAGGTAAGAGAATTCATCTTCGGGAACTGTGTTCGATGGCGGCTGGATTTGGTTGTCGTCCAACTTGGAGTTCGCAATAGAACGCCTGAGTGCGTCATGTACTTCGATGGATGTGGAGCGGAACAGTTCGATTTTCTGCTGGTCAATGGCATCTTGGTGCCGGCCTAGTGCCTTGGCAGCATCCGACTCGTGGGCAAATAGAACAAACGCGTCTTTGGTGGTTAGTCTTTCCGATGAGTTCACAAAAAGTACGCCTTCATTACCCCCCAAGACATGGCAGGGCGCCGTGTCACCGTTGATGAAAAAGTCCAGCTAGGGAAACAGAAATAAGCTATTGATATAGCCTAGTATTGGATTTAATCTTACCACTTGTTGGGTGGTGCAATCATGGGGTAGACCGCGCATCCGGATGATCACCTGGGCACCTTTGGAGAGGAACTTTTTCGCCTCTTTCGTTTCATTAATGGCCAGGAAATCCGCACCCGCGGCATTATACACGTTGATATACTTGCTACCAATGCGAATCTTGGTCCATCGTAGAGCCATGACGCTGTGCTTCTGGGGTATGAAACGGTCGAGAAAGCAACAACGCCTTTGAAAAGGGGGAAGGTGGAAAAGGGAAGCGATTAGACGAAAATAGATTGGGTTCTACGAACTGACCCCACTGATCCAGCTTATCAATTGAATGACTAATTTAATTCATCACTACTTGTGACTTGGCAATGGTCAGGATAACCCTCTGGAATTCGCTTAATAAATATATCCCAATATTATCCCACTGAATTCCAGTGGCGGTGAAATACGAATAACCAAAATAATAAATAAAATCCAGCAAACAAAGCCATACCGATCCCTTACGACGGCACCTGAAACTTTTCGATCCGGTAATCCAAAGACTGAGCTGAACTGAGCTGAGCTCGTATCGCCTCCCAATCCAAACGTAGACTAACGTAAACTAATGAGGCGCTCTCATCTCGGATTTGGTAACCACATCAGGCGCCAACCTTTAGTGGCTTCGTCTTACAGAGAACTAGTTCGTTGTTTGTGGGGTATTAGGAAATCGGAAGATATTCCAAGTTCTAGTACCAGATTAGCCATTCAACCATAGGTAGTTTCTCCGCCACCAGGCACTTCCTCAGCAGCATCTGCTCGTGACCATCTTGATCTTAGAATCGAGGAGCCAGAGGAAGCAAAGGTAGGCATCATACTGTACCTTGCTCTTCCGAAGTTGTACATTATTAGATTCTCTGGATATTGTAAAAAGTTTTTGGGGAAAGTTCTCACTGAATGGCCAAGTTCTCCGTTTCCCATTTCCAAAAAACCCTTTTGTTTTTCCCACATGCCACATAAATAACTTCAACTGGTCAGCTTCAGACTCAAATTCAGGAATACAGCATCTGCCGTTTGTTAATTGAATCATTAGGGGAGTGGAACCAGAAACAATGCCACATAATCATTATGAGTGATTGCAGTCGGCCAGACGGGAAAACAAAAGGGCCGGTCGAGTCGAGAGTTTACAAAAATTTATTTTGAATAAGTCACCCAGCTGGCCATTTCACTCGTGTAACTCCAGATGCAATTCCCTGTCTGAAACAGACACGATCCCCTTGTAATCCTCTCAAGGGGTTGCCTAAAAATGGGAACCACTTGAGAACCGGACTTAGACTCACCCCCATCCTCGCCTCCTTAGGGCTGATCCAAAAAGTCGGCGAGGATGTGACTTGAGGATTTTCCACACTGATACACCCCAGTGCCCCTCGCACGGGTCAATAACTTTGTTTCGAGTGCAATGATATTATTTTTGGAAGAGTGCATAGGTCGTGGGCTGCCTTGCTTTTTGCTTTTTCTGCTTTCAGTAGCCGAAAATAGAATTATAATATTTTTGAAATATTTTAATGCTGTTATTGGAGGAGAGAACTTTTCTACCCCATGGATACTCCTATATGGCCCACATCGAAGGTTTTATCTTTGCCAATATCCATCCGATTCTTGAGTGGAATACCTTAATCGATTTGTAAATCGATTTGCTTTAAATCTGCATCAAAATCTAGAAACAAAACATTTTTTAATTTTTTTGTCAAATTTTCTGGGTAGACCCCTTCAAAATGTGGAAAATCCTTGGGGAGCACATTATGGCCTACTGCACAAGCTATATCTTTGCCAATATCCATCCGATTCTTGAGTGGAATAGCTTAAACGATTTGTGGATCGATTTCCTTTGATTCTGCATCAAAATCTAGAAAAAATATATTTTTTAAATTTTTTGTCAAATTTTCTGGGTAGACCCCTTCAAAATGTGGACAATCCATGGGGAGCATATTGTGGCCTACTGAAAAGGCTATATCTTTTCCAATATCCATCCGATTCTTGAGTGGAATACCTTAAACGATTTGTGGATTGATTTCCTTTTCTTCTGCATCAAAATCTAGAAACAAAATATTTTTTAAATTTTTTGTCAAATTTTCTGGGTAGTCCCCTTGAAAAGGTAGAAAATCCATGGATTCCACAATATGGCCCACATTGAAGGCAATATCTTTGTCAATAATTATCCGTTTCTTGAGAGGAATACTTGATCGGTGATCGGTTCTCCCCAAAATTTAAAAAAATTTAAAATTTTCCATTCGATATTTTTATTTTAGATCGATTCTCCTTCCTTTTACAGAGGCCCCCGCTTTTCTTTTTTTTATGACTGATTAGGTTGTTATTTTTAAAGTAATAGTTAGTAAATAGTATTAGTAAATGTATTAGTAAATGGTCTGAACCAAAATGTGTGCCATCTGTGGCCCAGCTGCTGTCTAAGCTCAGATTCAGGATTCCGGAACCCTATCCCCGACGGAGAGTCTCAGCTTACAGCGGGGATATCATGTCAACGCTTTGACTGTCGTTTAACTTGCCCTTGTCGCCTTGTTTTATCCAGGCTGCAACATTTAAAGGGCTTAAAACTTTAATTAAAAAGAGCGAACCCTGGCAGGCACAGCTGTGGCATCCTTCGGCTTCTGTTCCTTCGTTTTGTGTGAGCTGTTAGCATTTGATCTATGCGCTGACAGGACGAAGACGAAGACAGAGGAGTTGGTTGGTTGGTTGGTCGGTTCCCAGTGCATTCGGTAATCGGATACTTTTATTGCTGAAAGGATAAACCGCAAAATGCTTTGCACGACCATCACATAATACATTTTATAAGAATTTTTTTCTCGCTCGCATAAGCAGCTTAAAGTCGCTGCCTGCATCGAAACTTTACGACAGTTGTAACGTTTCTTTTCATACATTTCGATTTTTTTTTATTTTTTACTTTTCTGGCTTCTTTTGTTTCAGGAAGTGTCGCCCTTTTGTGGACGTTGGCTGATCTCAAATAAAAATATTCCTGGCTGGCAATAAAATTGATGGATTCGATGCGCGCGGCGCTCAATAAAAATGTTGCCAAAAAGATGCCAAAGTAGGGGCTGAAGGGAGGCCCGGCCCATAAGCCGAGTGTGTATCAGAAAGACATTAAAGTCGGGATCCCGATTCCCAGACAGGAAGTGTTTAACACACCTTCGACGAGCGACTAAGCACATTAAAGCGTTAACTGAGCATTATTCAAATGCCGGCCACAGCCATCCCATTAAAGGGGATTATGCATGGGCAATAAACCGAGTCGAGACTGAGTTACAGAGTTTATTATTAAATATGCAAAGCACGGAGTCGGAATACCTTTGATTCACCCGATCCTCGATGCAGTTTAGGGGTTACATGCCATCATCTGCTGTCTGTCCGTTTTGCAAAAGTCCTTTTGTCTTTCCCGAATGCAATCGACGCATCTTAAGTAGCTGGCAAAAATCCAAAGGGATGAATCCCGAAAAGGGTTGCGTCCTGGGCCTGGATGTTGTAATAAAATGTTTACAAATTTGTGCAAAATCATTTTGCATGTGCCAATTTGAATGGGGAAAGTTTTCAGTTGATTTATCGCTCAACGGGTTTGTCCTGCCAGTGGGAACTTTATATATTTGATGGCTTGATTAAATGAAAGGGAAGATCTTAAGGAGGTGACAGGATTGAGGCGGATTTCGGAAGTCAATTGATTAGGGTATTTTATTCATTAGATGTCCTCTATCAAATAGATATAGGTACTTATTCCCTTAAAGTTTAAAAAATGGGAGTCTTTGGATTACAATTGGATCTCTCATTTTCGAGGCTTAGCTCCCCTTTTTCAAGACGACTTAACCTTGGACTTGAAATTTTCCCAAACCACCCAGAATCCTATCCTGAACCTATTAATCTTTGTTAAATGAAATTTGAATATACTAACCCTCTATGGCTATAATGAAAAATGAGAAGCAATTGAAAAATGACTCCTATTCTGGCGATCGTATGCAAATTTCAAGAAAAATGTGTCTCTCGATATTCGCGCATTAATTACAAACGCAATATTTACAAAACAAATGTGTCGTATTGTGCAGTCTCACTGGGGAAAAGTATATTCCAGGGAAAAAGGAAAGGAGTGAGGCAGCTGTCCGCTGTCAACCCCTTTTGGAGTGACAAAATTACAAAGATTACAACTTAATTTCGACTTCCAGCCCCTGGGTTGAGTGGTGGACGGGCATTTACATACATAAATCTAAGATCCTCCGGCTCTATGGTCTGGTCTGGTCTCTGCTGTGTCACTTCTCTGGTTGTCCTGGAAAAGACACTCGAAATTGTTGAAAATATTTTGTCGTGCCTGCCATTGTTTGGCCCGGTTGGGAAAACGAAAACCCCTTTTCCGAGGAGTTGCCTCAAGTTGAGATTCAGGTAAGTCGGCATTTGCATTTTCGTGACAGCTCTTACAGCGGCGCATTGTCCTTTCACACCTCGCAGGAGGAGGGGGCTTTATTTTTTTGTTTTGTTGGAAATTGTTGGAAGTTGCAGATCTCACACTCGAATGCGTTTGTAAATATTTTGATTGCATTCGGTGGGATTTCTCATTGAAACCTAGTACCAGTATCCGGGAATTCCTACAACTAAAAATGGGGACGCCAGTTTAATTTCAGTTGCAACACCAATTAGCAGTTACCTGGGCACCCCAAACGCACTCACCTGTGGCCGACTGTCTACGCCCTCGTACCAGCAACAATGCCATTGCTTCGGGCCCAAATCAAAATTGCACCAGGGGAACTTCCTTCAGGCTTCTCATTTTTTTTGTAGTATTTTTAGTAGGCAGGTTCCTTCCCTCGGGTTTCACACGTTATTCAGTGAGCATAAAGCGGCGCGTATTTAGGCCAGAAACTGAAAACAAGGGGGAAGACCAGCAGCAACGGCAACAGCAATACCAGCAGCGGGAAGAAAACACTTGACCAAGTCTCTGGGATGCCAAAAGCCAAGTCGCCCAAGCGTTGGATTTGTAACGTATTTTTCGTTTACAACTCGAAACAGTGAGGCGCAGAAGTGTCCCTTCTTTAATTGTTCGGACTGTTAAAATTTACGCTGTTACTTCTTTTTTTTGTTATTTTCTTCTTTCTTCTGGTTATAGATTGTCTCTGGACGATAAAATGAGTTTTCCCAGACAATTAAAGTGAGGGAAAACGTTGCCGCAGTCATTTAGTGGCAATAGAAGATGTTGATCGTCATAAAAGATAGATTCTGTCTCTCGTTTATAAATGCAATTTGAGACACTGGGTGGGTCAAGAAATATTTACTATCTTTATAAGAAAAGGATCTTAATAGAAGGCAAGGATATTTCGTAATTTAGAAAAGGAAACAAAGTTAACAAAGCAGGAACTCCATATTTTAGTTTCTTACCTTTAATATCCTATATATCCCTTCATTTGCCATTAAAACCCCAAAAACCATTTGCCAAATTTTAATAAATGCATTTCTACCCTACCTATCCGATGACAGAAACAAAATGAATAGTGTCAGCCGTTTTTTTCGAGTTTCAATATTCAAATTACATTCAAAATTGATTAATGAGTGAAAATTTGCATAGGGATGCAAGGCCATATGTGATGAGCCTTAATTAAGCCAAGGACCTCGGGGAGGGTTCACCTCACTCCCCATCCATATATAGAAAATATCTGTACATAGGCACGCGATGCAGGATATTTGGATGAACAGATGGGCAGCAGGACACCCCCGCCTGGCCAGGATCGGTATATGCTAATTTGTCTGGAATTTTCACTGTTTTGTGGGGATTGGCCACGCGACAAGGACGACTAGAAACACACCGCACGCGATAAATTCCGCGGCTGGTTTATTATTCCATTTCAGATCAAGATCGGGCAATGCCATAGACTAAAATTAGTGGTAGAAAAAGGGGGTATGCGTTTATACAAAAAGAAAAAACGGGATCATGGTTTCGCGCAGCTGTAGCTGTAAATTAAAATGCATTTTACGCAACTGTTCACCAGGATCCGGGCTATAGATCCTGCAGCTGTTGCCCCCTTGCTGCATTTTCCTAATGGCACGCTCTCAACACTTGAAAAGGACACCCCCGCCGCTAGGAAAGTGGAAAGAGATGCCAGGAGTTCGGTGTGTTTTTCGTAGAAATTTACGCATTTTCATGCTCGACTACCGTTGAACAAGGACCTCCGACCGAAAATAGATTAGCCGCTCCCAAAGGATATTGAACCCGAAAATGACGAAGGGACAGGACCTAGTTGTGGGTCAGTTAGGCAATTGTTGAAGGGCGCGTGCCACAATCGGAGTCCTTCCTGCTTCAGGATAATTACTTCAAGTGCCGACAGATTAATGGTTACGAAATTCCATTAATAGATATATTTCAATTGAGTTTTTGAATAGTTTTGATTAAAAAAAGGAAGACAATTTTAGAATGTTGCAAGTAAAATGGCGGAAAGTCCTTTGAGTTATGGGCTCCTACGTTATACGTTATATAGTGATGAGTTGGCATTTTCACAAAGTAAACATTCATTGTCAGAGACTCTCTTGAAGTGGAAAAAGTGGCTTGGTATGTGCATTTTATAATAATTTAGTGGTTTGAAAAGAAAATTTAAAAGTCGCGCCAATTTTGTTAGCTTCCAACACTGGTTGAAACTAAGGGTGCCACTCTGGCTAAAAAATAAGACACACACAGGGTGTCCTTTAATGCCAGTGATGCCAGACTAGTAATATTCAAACAACGAGAGAATAAACTTTACGAAATATAAAGCCCATCTCAGCTTAGTCACTTCAGATAGAGTTTGTCCCTTTTAATAAATATCGAAAACCATTGAAAACGTCTGATAATGACGCATATCCGACCGGTTCGTACATTCCCGCCATGTTCGCGAAGGAGAAGGCAAGAAAATAGAAAAAAGACAGTGTTACCAGCTCATGCAACCAAATCCGAAAATTAGCAAAGTTGGCAACACTGACAGCTCTATTGTGCTCGAAAGAAACCATCAGGGAAAACGGGGAAACGCGTTGCAAGCAAGTGTTGAATACCAACCGGGGAATCAATAGCCGTTGGGAGCCCAAGTGTGTCTTGGGGACTGTGTAGTTATCGAGAAATTTGCAAGTCGATCGTGCAGAAAGTAGAGTGTACTGTTTCGTGGATGAATATTGCGAAATTCAACGAAATTCGCACCAGTCGTTGAGACGATCGGACAGAGTATTCAAGGAACCCAGCCAGACGTCCAGTTGCTCTCTTATTTTCGCGTGTGTTCTGTGTTTCCGTGTGGTCAGTGTATTCAGTGTGTGTGTGCGTGAGCCGCACCAGCAACAGGAATCGGAACTAAATCCCGGAACTGGGAACAAATTTGGCAAACATTCGCGAATACGGAATGTCCAGTGGTCAGCACCTGATGGCCGATTCGCCGGCCTGCAGCAGTTCGGACCACTCGCCGCTGGCCAAGAAACGGAGGTTGGAGGAGGGAATTGGAGAGGAAGCCGGTGGAGCAGCTAGCAGCAGCAGCGGCAACAACAACTACGAAAATCACGACAAAGCAGGCGGCGTTGACATTTCGAGCGGGACGTCAACAGAGCAGCAGCTGGAATTGTGTGTATCGTCGTCTACTTCTGATACGTGCGTTTCGAATGCGACTGTGAGCAAGCGAGAGAGAGAGACAGCGGCGAAAGCAAACGCAAAGACGAACAGCGACGACGTTAGTACTAGTACATCGTCAGCAGTGGAGAAGGAAAGTAGCAATCGCCCGGAGAAGAAGCAACGGATTAGCCTGGACACCGAAGCATCCTCAGCCAGCTCCAGCTCCACCACCACCAAATCCACCTCCAACAGCACTAGCAATAACAACAACAACTCGAACTCAAACTCCACCGTAAGCTCCAGCAATAGCAACAGCAATAGTCGGCACCTAGGAGGAGCTAGCATGGCCGCCAACAATGCCGCCTCTGGCGGAGACATCGATGAGTCGCTGTACTCGCGCCAATTGTACGTCCTCGGACATGACGCCATGCGCCGGATGGCCAACTCGGACATCCTGCTGTCGGGACTCGGCGGACTGGGTCTGGAGATCGCCAAGAATGTGATTTTGGGCGGCGTGAAGTCTATAACCCTGCATGACACAGCAACTTGTGGGGTATGTGTTCTATTTCGATCGGGCCGGGGGGAAGTGTCGCGGTGTTCGTGTGAAAAAATCGATAATTGGCATTTGTGAGTGCAAAGAGCGCGCGGGAAAAGCAACGTATCCCTTCAACCCACCCCAGTAACTGGAAAAGGGTAGCTCCATGATTCATGCCTGCAGTTTTTCAGTTTGAACTGTTTCATCCAAAATTAGGTTAGGTTAGGTGTCTCTCTGGTTTTTCTCTTACATTTCGCTAAAAAAAAAAAAGCTGTGTGTGTAATTCGTTTTTCCTTCTTTTTCTATTTGCGAAAATGGTGCGAGTGAGACGACCCTATTGCGTTTCGAATAGCGGGGCTGCAATTGTTTTTGCATTCCCTTTTGCTCGCCGCATTCGCTTTTGTTTTATACGTGGAACGCAACAAATATTCTTTGTTAGTCATACGCCACCGTTTGCTCCCACCGCCACCGCCCCTTCGGCCGTTATTTCATCATTGGCTAAAATAATTTATTAATTTACGTTTTATTTCCTCCAGCGCAATGACTTGTCGTCGCAGTTCTATCTCACCGAGGCCGACATTGGCAAGAACCGGGCCGAGGCCTCCTGCGCCCAGTTGGCCGAGCTGAACAGCTATGTGCGCACCGAGTCCCACACGGGACCCCTGACGGAGGACTTCCTGAGTAAGTTCCGTGTCGTGGTGCTGACCAACTCCTCGGCCGAGGAGCAGCAGCGCATTGGCAAGTTTGCCCACGAGAACAACATCGCTTTGATCATTGCCGAGACCCGGGGACTGTTCGCCAAGGTTTTCTGTGATTTTGGCGAGAACTTTACCATTTACGACCAGGATGGTGCCCAGCCTGTGTCTACCATGATCGCTAGCGTCACACATGACGCCCAGGGAGTTGTCACTTGCCTGGATGAGACTCGCCATGGATTCACCGATGGCGACTATGTCACCTTCTCGGAGGTGCAGGGCATGACGGAGCTCAACGGCTGCCAGCCCATCAAAATCAACGTTCTGGGACCCTACACCTTCAGCATCGGAGACACCAGCACCTTTGGCGAGTACAAGAGCGGCGGTGTCGCTACCCAGGTAAAGATGCCCAAGACTGTGAGCTTCAAGTCGCTGGAGCAAGCCACCCAGGAGCCGGAGTTCATGATCTCCGATTTCGCCAAATTGGACGCGCCCGCCACCCTTCATGTGGCTTTCAATGCGCTCGCCTGTTATAAACATACTCACGGAGCTTTGCCGCGTCCCTGGAACGAGGAGGATGCCCAAGCTTTCCTGGCGCTGTGCCGTGAGAACAGCAAGGACATTGACGAGAAACTGGTGCTGCAGTTTGCCAAGATCTGCTCGGGCAACACGTGCCCGCTGGACGCAGCTGTTGGTGGAATTGTGGCCCAGGAGGTGCTCAAGGCGTGCAGTGGAAAGTTTACCCCAATCTACCAGTGGCTTTACTTCGACGCCGTGGAGTGCTTGCCGGCAGAGGGCGTAACCGAGGAGGATGCCCAGCCACTGGGCTCCCGTTACGATGCCCAGATTGCCATCTTTGGAAAGAAGTTCCAGGAGCAGTTGGCCGACGCGAAGTGGTTCATTGTGGGAGCCGGTGCCATTGGTTGTGAGTTACTGAAAAACTTTGGAATGCTTGGTCTTGGCGTTGGCAAGGGCCAGATCTTCGTCACCGATATGGATCTCATCGAGAAGTCGAACTTGAACCGGCAATTCCTATTCAGGCCGCACGACGTCCAAAAGCCCAAATCGCTTACGGCTGCTTCTGCTATCCAGCGCATGAATCCCGACGTGAAGGTCACCGCATATGAACTGCGTGTGGGTTCGGAAACCGAAAAGGTCTTTTCCGAGGACTTCTTCGGAAAACTGGACGGAGTGGCCAATGCTTTGGACAACGTGGATGCGCGTATCTACATGGATCGCAAGTGCATCTTCAACCGCATCCCGCTGGTCGAGACCGGAACTCTTGGCACCATGGGTAACGTCCAGGTGATCGTTCCCTTCGCCACCGAGTCCTACAGTTCATCGCAGGACCCTCCCGAGAAGAGCATCCCCATCTGCACGCTCAAGAATTTCCCCAATGCCATCGAGCACACGCTGCAGTGGGCCCGCGACGCCTTTGAAGGTGTCTTCAAGCAGTCCGCGGAGAACGCAGCCCAATACATCTCAGATCCTCAGTTTACCGAGCGAATTGCCAAGCTGCCAGGAATTCAGCCACTAGAGATCCTCGAATCTATTAAGGTGGGTGCTTGACTTTCTAACTATGTAATAGATAATATCTTTCTCTTGTTCTGAATCTTTAGAAAGCTCTTATCGACGATAAACCCAAGAACTTTGCCCAGTGTGTCGAGTGGGCTCGTCTCCACTGGGAGGACCAGTATGCCAATCAGATTAAGCAGCTGCTCTTCAACTTCCCTCCGGATCAGATCACCTCCAGTGGCCAGCCGTTTTGGTCGGGTCCCAAGCGTTGTCCCGATCCGCTGGTCTTCGACGTGAACGACCCTATGCACTTGGACTACGTCTTTGCGGCTGCCAATCTGCGCGCTGAGGTCTATGGCATCGAACAGGTGCGCAACCGCGATACCGTTGCCGAACTGGTGAAGCAAGTCAAGGTTAGTTCCATGTCCATTTCTCTATTTGGGAATCTTACTTCAAAAACTAATTTTAGGTGCCAGAATTCAAGCCCCGTTCGGGCGTGAAAATCGAGACTAACGAAGCGGCCGCTGCTGCTTCGGCCAACCACTTTGACGACGGAGAGGTGGACCAGGATCGTGTAGATAAGATCATTACGGAACTACTGAAAAACGCGGACAAGAGCTCGAAGATTACGCCGCTGGACTTCGAAAAGGACGATGACAGCAACCTTCACATGGACTTCATTGTAGCCTGCTCAAATCTGCGAGCCACGAACTACAAGATCGCACCAGCCGACCGTCACAAGTCCAAGCTGATTGCGGGTAAGATTATTCCCGCCATCGCCACCACCACATCGGTGCTGTCCGGCTTGGCCGTTCTGGAGGTGATCAAGCTCATTGGTGGCCACCGAAGTCTCGATAAGTTCAAGAACGGTTTTGCCAATCTGGCTCTGCCATTGATGGCCTTCTCAGAGCCACTGCCCGCCGCCAAGAACACCTACTACGGCAAGGAATGGACGCTTTGGGATCGCTTTGAGGTCACCGGAGAGTTGTCGCTACAGGAGTTCCTTAACTACTTCGAGGAGAAGGAGAAGCTTAAGATTACGATGCTGTCGCAAGGTGTCTCCATGCTCTACTCTTTCTTCATGCCGAAGGCCAAGTGCTCCGAGCGTTTGCCACTCCCCATGTCTGAGGTGGTGCGTCGCGTATCCAAGCGGCGCATTGAACCCCACGAGCGCTCTCTGGTTTTCGAGATCTGTTGCAACGACGTTGAAGGCGAGGATGTGGAAGTACCCTACGTCCGTTACACGCTGCCCTAAGCCCATATATAATCTTAATTTAACCATTAAATTATTTTATGATCCTGTTTTGTCGCCGTCGTCGTGGCCACCGTGTGTTGGAGCTACGCCACTTTAAGAAACATAAACATAGAATGTCTAGCTGTTTGCATTTTAATTTTCAAAAACACAACTAGATGATTGAGAACACAACAAATACGCGGAGCAAGCCAGATCTAGAAATTAAATATATAACATGTGTGGAATCCTATAAGGAATCGCAAATTAATTCGCATTATACGAAAAAAACAAAGACTCGACTTAAAGCAAAAACTTAACTGCATCTGAAGAAACTCTCTGCTCAGCATAGTTGTAAATGAAAAAAGGATTACAGAAAAACTGAAAGCGGATTTAATCGCATTGAGTAATTTGAAATTGGAAACTGAAGAAGCCAAGCGGAAGATTTCTCATTTCACTCATATATTTTTTTTATATGAACGTATAAACTAATTACATCATTGTATTAAAAACGAGGAAAGCAAATGAATAAAGCTGTATATTTCATATGGTAATCGTCCCGCGAGATGTCTACGATAATTTCGTTTAGCACTTGTCGTTTTGTAATCTCATTTTCTCAGGACTTGGGGAAATTGTAATGCATACTGCAGTAAGAGAGGAGGCTGCCTGCCTGCCTGCCATCTATCCATACCCTGGCTGCCAGTCAGTTGGCAGAAAGTTACGTGACACAATTAAATATTTTATGCCCTCTCAAGACGTTTATGCCACCCACCGCCGCCCCAAAGGAGGCTGCTGCCACCGAAGTGCAATTGGCAAGTGCCGTAAAGTTGTGCTGCAGGCGGTGGGGTGGGGGACCAGCTCTTATAATTAAATATTACACGCAATGCAACTGAAGTATAGCCAAAGTTATGCAGCTTCACTGCTATCTCTTGGCCTTCTGCAGCTTTTCCGAAAACTTGCTTAAATTATGCAGATAATGAAACAAACAGGCGCAGTGCGTGTGCAGGGAATAGGAAAGTGCCCCGAACAGGAGGGGCTTCGTAGCATCCAAAGGATTCTATTAGCTCTACGGGGAATCCCCAGTATCACATTTCTTTGAAGAAACCTGTCCAAGACAGTATAATCAAAGTTTAGCTACATAGTTGTGCTGGATGTAAGGAAACTAATATGACTAGATATTTTAAACTTTTGATTTTTTAAATTATAATTTAATGCCCAATGCTGATTTTATTCCGAATCGAGTTATGGGTCGTGAATATGCATATATGTATGTATGTATTTTCTTTGTTGAGACAGACACCTTCTGCGTAATACATATGATGAGCCACTAACAGCAGTCTCTTGGTAATATCTGTTTTTTTTTGCGTTTTTAGTGTACGTCAGCTTTTGGCCGATGATCATCCGGCAAGCGCCACAAAACCCCAAAGGCTGTTGACTCATGGGGAAAAAAAGAGAGTCGTTGGATTGTATTTTTGGTAAGGTACTCATCCATGAAGCATCCATACGCTTTGGGTGTGAAAAAAAGAATCTTAATTTTAGTCGTAAATCTGAAATCGGATTCAGGGCTTATCGCTTTTTCGGATCAGACTGCCGAAAAGCTAATGCAAAAAACTGCTTTTATTCTGTATTGAGCCTCCACCGGGGTAGGGAGTTTAAATCTCGACCAGTTCTATATAAAAATGTGAATCTTTTGTTGTACGACCGGCAACCTGTTGGCTAATTTCCAAAATATGCGGGTACAACATTTTTCGGTTGATGGCTTTCGCCATGTGTGTTTGTGAGCAATTTCTCATGCAAATCGGATATGGAATTATTATTTAGACTGTTTTTTTTTTTTGTTATTTTTCAAATTAATTGTTTTGAGATTTCTTTGCCATTGAGCGAGTGATTTCAATAAATTCTCAGTTGGCCGTGTGACACTTTTCGTCCGATAATGAACCAAACTCCGCCGAATGTGATTAATGGACATGTTAAATGGAAATCATCGGACGAGGTGGTTGGGTGGCAGTGTCTCTCATCTGATTTGATGGACACGTCAAGGCGAGAGCAATGCACGAGTCCAGGGAAAGCGGAGATCCGAGTGCATCGGTTGCATATTTTAATTAATTACTCGGATACAGATACATCTGCCATCGGTGGGTGGGTGGAGGTCAATTGGGCTGGCATTTCCTGTCCATTCCAAATGACCAAATGGCCATAGCCAAGCATGCGTCATTTGCGAGAAAGTTTTCTGGCTGTGTAAGACACAATTAGTAATTGCTTTGATTTCCTGTCTGTTTGAGGAACGTGTTCGAATTTGCGCACTTGGGAAATGGTAGTATGTAAATCGCATGTCCCACCGCCGGGGTACATGTGCCCACTTCCATTTTAGATCAGTCGAACATACGCCTTAAATTGACTCATAAAGCACATTGCACAATAAACGACAATCTGCTCCATAGGAGCCACATGCTTCTCCACACACCAAGAAAAGTCTACCCTAAATAATAAATATACTGATTATACAAAAAATACTAATTATTTTGCAATATTTGTTTTTTATAGGATTTTCCAACACTAAAACGGAGAGCCATCAAAGACAAAATGGCAGCCAAAATGGCTTAGAAACAAAATGGCTGCCAAATCTTAAGATTCCTTTTCAAAATGTTTCAAATTTAAATAATTCAATAATATTTAAATCTTTACAATAAAATTAATTTTATTTCAAGTGCAGACACAGGAATCTTAGTATATTTACACGCTAATACATAAATAAGTTTTCCCAAATCGGCTAGACATCCGTGCCACCGCCCACACATATAATATGAGCATTATACAAGCTGGGGCGACACTGAAGATATCCCAACACCAAGCTCCCGGCCATTTCCAGACGACACTTCTCCATAATTGATTTATGTCACGAACTTGCTCCCGGCAATATCGGATATTCGACGCAGTGGCGGACTTGGTTTTAAAAGAGCCAGATAGAGCTATCGGGCGGATTCGCAGGGAAATGCAACAAACAAGATAAGTGCCCCACTGAGTCACTGACATCGAAAGTTACTAACCTTAGTTATAAGCATATATGTTATGTTTCTGTTGCCGATCCGCTTTATCGGGCACAGGAAGTAGGTGATATTCCCATTCATCACCCACTATAGTATAAAAATACGTATTTTAAGGCAGAATACTCGAAAATTTCCTTCAAGAATACATATGTCGTAATGCATTGAGTAATATAAGACTTCAAATAATTCAAAATTATCAGTCCGATAAGATATGCAACTCTGTCATATTGATAAGTTCTTACGCACATTATGTCTTGACCATGTGTCATTGCTGGGTACTTTTTGTCACTCTTCCGATTTTTGTAGGTCAACTGCAGGCTGAGAAAAGCAGAAATCGGTTTTGCATTCAATTTCGTGTTCAATTAGCACTTGACCCCAGACCCGAGGTCTAAACTACGAATTTGCCGGCAAGTAGTTTCGGATACGTATGGTTACAGTGGCGTACACTTAAATAAGATCAAAAAGAGTCGTCAAAGTGTGGATTACGGCTTTAAAATTTATTCCCGCCAGTGATGAAACATCTGTCAAAAGAATTCGAATAATTTGAATAAATTCTATCAAACTTATCCTGGATGATCGTACCTTAACCAACTCATTCCATTATGAAGCCAAGACTCCACCAGAAGCAAGTTCCGATGAGGCTTGGCGGGGAATCAAACTAGTCAACAGAAACGGTCTCTTACCTGTGATCTATTGGTCCCCGATATCTACTACCTGGAAGAGGAGGCGTTTTCGATTAACACTGTCATTGCCGTTGAGGGAAATGAATGTATCCTGTGTGTGATAATCGCTGATACATACGTAGTGGTTTGGTTATCGAAGTCGACTAATAATTTTATATTTCATTTTTATATGAAACCCAAAAATGACTTAATGGATGAGATGGTTTAATTTAAGTAGAACTCACTGTAGCTAAGTTTGGTTTATGAATGATTACTGATGGTTTAGTCATCAAAAGACGAAATGAATTTGTAGATATTGAATTTTTATTTTTAAATCACAATAAATGTAGTTTAAAATGTCCATTTATGGTGATTTAAAAAATGTTTAAAAAAAGATGCTTTTAATACTGAGTAAGAACTTGAGAAGTTATATTAGACGTTTATCCTTAAATATGAACAAATTTTTTTTTCATTAATTAAAACCACAATGTAAAAAATGTTTCCGAAACATTAATTCATGCTTTTTCATTTTCAGTTCCATAATTTATTATTCATGTTTTAAGTGTAATTGGATTCCGAGAAGAGGTCCATTCATCATTATTAGCAGTCTGTTTTGTGTTTATTGTGCAATCCTCCAAGTGGCGCCAATATTGCCACAAAAGTGTTAAGATTGGACTATTTTGGACTACCAAGTAGGTAGCATAATCTCTAAAAGAAATATATTCACAATGTGGGTCCCACATAGACATCGTTTCTCTTTCGACTACTTCAGTTCTCTTTCTCTTTTCAAAGAGAAATATATTGGACGCTCCATGGAGACCGATAGACCGTTGGGGGCATGGAGGCCCAATGTAATCCCTAGTAATTCGTCGGGTTCCAGGAGCGATCGCCAGGAGCGATCTCTCTCGTGCTCTACAGCGCGGAATTGAGACAACGGGTTTCGAGCTGAGTGGGAACTGAATGTGGAGGCAAGTCGCTGGCCGCCAAGCCAACACTCACTGCCAGTCGGTCTCGCAGAGCGGTATACCCGCCACTACGGTCGAAGCGAAATAAAAATAATACACCACCCCGTCAGTGGTGTAACGATATATTTTACAAAGCGAAATAAAAGAAAACCAACAAAAACATAAAATAAAAGACGGTCGGAAAGATTTATTCTTGCATATAAATTATATAGTATTTTATACGAAACCCGAATAAAGAGTGGCGCTCGTCCGCCCACTTTTCCTGATTTTTTTTTCGTGGGACGAACAAAGCGATTATGTCGGGAACGGATTCGGGATCGGGAATCGGATCGGAAAATATGGGCATTAGCATCGGTGTATCGGGATAATATATTAAAAAAATAACGAAAGAAAGAACGAACAAAACAAAGGCCTTTTTACTCTCGTATGCCAATTAATTGTGTGGTTGTGTCTCGATGTCGCTTCACAAAAGCTAATGGGTCTTAAATAGTGTGTGTCTTTTGGAAATTTTGAATATATTCCGACCCAGCCCACGAACTTCCCCCACCTCCCACGGGGCGGATGCGTCATATGTAAAGGAGCGGAAAAGCGAACAGCGAAAAAGGGCAAAAAAAAGGGAGAGAGCCCAGATACCAAGAAACAGTGGCCACAACAAAAAAAAAAAACACAACACAAAAGCCAGACCAAGAAGCAGAAACGGTTCACCCCCACTTCCGCTGCTTTGCTTCTTTGGTTCTATTGTTGTTGCTTTTGTTGTTTTTGTTGCAGCTGTTGATGCCGCCGGCTATTTGTGGCGTGCTTGCCACTGCGCATGTGTGTGTGTCAACCCCCGCGGCCACTAAACAACAACAAAGTTAAAAGTGAAACACAAAAAAAAAAGAAGAAAAGTTCAATTCCTCATTTCGAATTGTTAGTGCAACACATCAATTAATTAAGCTCCAGTTTTATGCGATTCGCAAGTGATCTGCGACGATTTAATAAAAGAAAAGTGCAAAGTTTAAGTGATCCCTTCGTCCCTGCCCCTCGACAAGATAAATAAGAAAAGAATTGAAAGTAAAAGCGAGAAGAAAAATGTGCTCCACATGTGTCGGCAGGCTGGCGCTACTTGCCACCGCCCTGCTAGCACTCGTAACCCTAGCCGCAGGAATTCAGGATCTACCCGATCTGCTGTATCATCACAAAAATCAGTATAATGATGATCCCAAGACAGCTACTTTGGAGCAGCAAGATATGGTGGCGGGTAGGTCTGGAAAACCCGCAAAAATATCCGAGGATATTATGGTGAGTTGGTGTTTAGAGGGTTTTTGTCCAGAGCTATAATATTTTAATAAAATTAAAAAACAAAGCTGAAAAAAGCTCATATTAAGTATACGACACGTTGTACTTGTAATACTTACTATAAATTGTATCCCATTTCAAATAAAAATTAGTATAATATTAACTTTTGAATTCTCCAAGGAATGGTAAGTGGCTACTATATTAAGTATATAGTAGCTTAATAATAAACGAGTATCTTTTCAATGAATTACCTTTGTGGCATCAATAATTAATCTCCCAAAGAAAACAAAATTAAATCTTTAAATTTGCATGAACGAGATGGCCATAAAGAGAAAATGAGACAGGGCGAGGTCAGTGGCAAACAGCTGGAAATTAAATCAACACACAGGAGGCACAAATGCTCACTGCAGTTGCAGCAGTGGCAGCTTCAGACACTCGATGCAACCGATGAAGGGATGAGGGGGCATGGACCATCGAGATAAGGCAAATCCAAGCCCCCTGCCAGCGCCACTGGGCCGATGATGCAGCCTGCTTATGCTGTGGCTGCTCATGCCTATGACCCCAAAATCCCAAATCGGTCTACATATGAAACCACAGTGCGCGTCATAGATAAGGGACCATGAATGGGAAAGTTTTGATCGTAATGGAAAGGTTCTTGACTTCTTCAATAGCCTAATACAATGAGCAATATACAAAAATCGTAAAAATTATAAGCATTTTAATATGAGTTTTTAAAATATTTACTATTTTTGGTACACACTGTACATGTGTTCATTCAGATGCCACGAAATGGGGGCCAACAGTCTCCGGTTCGGCCACTGCAGTTCGTAGTGCACAATGCATGCTTATTGTTTGGGGCATTGCATCCCATGGCTCTTAATGCATTTGTGGGTCTGCTCCCCGCCCCCTTAGATGGCCCAGCTGCCCCAGCAGCCGGAAAAGACCTCGCCACTAGGATATTCGCTGGTGGATTGCGACGGTTAATGAGCACGGGCGCCTTTTTAATCAGAATAACAAAATATGAGCAATTTACTTATTATTGTTCCCTTTTGTTTTGTATGCCAAGGAGTCGCGTTGGCATTCTTGAAGGCGCGCCAGGACATTGAACCCGGGGCAGCTGACTCAGCAGTGGCAGACATGCGAGGCGACCAGGATGAACTATTTATGTATGTGGGTACCACCTCGCCAGTGTGTGTACGTAGCCGGTCTTTCAGTTCCGCCGTCTTTCCAGCCGTCCGTCAGACATCCAACCAGCCAGCCAGCCAGCCATTCAGTCAGCCAGGCATTCTCTGCTTATGCGGCTTGGACCGAATCTTGGCATTTATTAAAGTGCGAAAACTGTAATTGAAGGGTCGGTCTGAATGGCTGGAAAAAAATATAAAAGATTAAGCGAAGGAGAAAGGAAATAAGGTCTGGCTCATGCCTGTAAGACACAGAGTACTGTGAGATATGTACGTTAAAATTTTGCTTAAAATATTTCCCACATTTTAATTAGAAAATGGCATTTTTGAAATGAATGTTTACATTCCCAGGAACAAAGAGAAAGTGGCCTATATCTATGAAACGGTGCTTGGGAAAGCCGAGTCGAGGTCGCCGCCGGGCCCGCATATTGTTTATTTAGTAAGGATATCAAAGGCGATGGATGTCGCCACTCTACAGCTGCCCGCTGGATGAGCAGGGCAAACATATGCCATATACAGATAGATATATGTATATATGTATGGGGTATGCATATATGGAGCACTATATATAAACATGTACATGGGCGATGATATGAGCGGAACCGAAAAGAAAAGAACTGAATCCGAGCGCGCCGAGTTGGGACGAAGTTGTCGTCCAGCGAATTGGGATTGAGAAGTAGTTGTTGGGTTGTTCCGAGTGTCGCCAGCTAGGCGCTGCCACAGCTCCCGGTTCAATAAACGCACTCACACACACGCACACCATAGATATCCCCACACACACACACTGGCACACTCAGTGAATTGTTCGCATACACTCACGCACTCGCGTTTATGAGTGGCGTGTAATCAAATAAATGATGAAAATGGAGCCAAGACGAAGACCAAGATGCTCTACACTGGGAGAAATTTCTCTCAGATAACTATGCTATAAAAGCTATTAATATTATGCATTTCTTCCCGTGTAAGTGTTGTTCTTGGGGCCAAGACTAGGGGGAGGTTTACGACAGGAGTAGCAGGGCAGCAGGGTCACGGCACTGCACTGCAGTTGCATGCCCCAGCGGAAGTAGTCCGGAAAGTGCATACATACACACATAGAAAGTGAAGTGAAGTTAACTTATCTGCACTCTTGCAACCGCACATTTGCATATCGCCACGCACAACCCTCTCCATATGCAAGAAATCGAATATATATATCTACATACATACGTCGGGGATATATATAAATCCCGTTGCCACTGACACTGAGACATAGAATGGGAAAAGGGCGGAGATTGGCGAGGGGGGAACGACCTAACAAACTGTTGCAATTTGCTTTCAAGTTTTCGCAAAATTCTAATTGGCACAACTATAGGAAACAGCAGAAGGAAGCGATGTCATCCGCAGACTTTGGGGACTTTCAGCCTTGTGTTTGTATTTGCAATTGCTATTTGTGGCAGGACCCCTCCTCCTTTCGTCTCCTCACTCGTCGAGGGTAGTTTTCTAATGAATTCAACACAACAGGCCACAAAGAAATTTTGGTCTGGCCAAAAAACCAAGAACAGGTGTCTTCTATTCCTCGCAGGAAGCGCAAACAATCAAAATGCATATGTGCATTACTCATTTCCAAATGGGTGTTTTCAGGAACTATTAAATATTACCAAAAATAAATGCTGGCTTCTGGGGAGGGAATGTTTTTCAAATACAGAAACCACTATAATACAAAAATATCTCATCTTAATTTTTCGGGAATCTTCATTATAGTGGCGTTGTACGATTGGAAATTTATTATTCCCTTAAGTTACGAGCTGTTAAGATGGCACATATTATTATCATTAGTCACTTTAATTGATTCATTGTCAAGTTGCTGGGCCGACAGATAAGAATCCCTCGATATTCCTCAAATTTCTCCTTTTTCGGAATGCAATTAACGCCGTTGCAGCTGATGGAAGTCATTCGGGGCATTTTCGTTGATTGTTTTATGGCTTCCTGGTAGGAGAGCCCACTTCCCAATTCCAGCTCCAGCCCTCTTCGATTGCTTTTATGGCCGGGGCTGGGCAGGGTCGGGCAGTCCCCAACTTGATCAAGACAATGCCCAGAATGGCAGCATTGTCAGATCTTAATAGGCTTATGACAATTCTTGGAGCGCCAGTTGAATGCACTAAGCGGCACTGTCATAAAGTAGGACCGAGATCGGATCGTATAATTTTTAAATGCCAACTCCCCATGTGCGATAATCAGAAACAGGAACAGAGACAGAACAGAGAGATTCAGATTCATATTCAGTTTCAGACTGAGTCGACTTGAAACAGATTAAATTTGCCGCTATTAATTAACTCGCAAGGCACATTAAGTTGAAGCTGCTGATTCACTGGTCTGCTCCAAAATCCGTAGAGACTCAAAGGGGGATTTTAATAAATTAAGTGGCACATTAACGTTATTGTAATACATACAATAACAGATACATATTTCCGCTTCTCGAATAAATTTACACATTTTAAGGTAATTTGTCAATGAATGGAATATTGTGTGGGTTAGACACCTGTTATAATGCGTTAATGACACTTGATCGGCTACCTAAGCGATTGGAGGGCAGGAAATCCCAGATCAAATTTGAATGAATGAGTAAGACTGGAATAAAAACAAGAAAAGATTTGAATTAATAAGCTAAAAGTTACAGCAGGTTATTTGGTTGAACTCATCATCGAGTTATTCAAGATAAATTTTATGACAAGACCTAAAAATTAAAAGATTTTAAACATTATGTACCACCTTTCTGACTTTTTAATTCCCCAACACTTTGCTTAAACCCCCTAGAAAGGAACCAAAGGACCTGCAAAGTCATGCCAAATGCACCTGGCTGGAAAAAAAAAATCTTTTTATTAAATTTCTCTTTCAATACATAATGCTTTGGTGGTTGGGTGGAGTTTCTATTTATTTTTTTAATTGTGTCACGTAGGGAACTGCATTCGGCTATAGAAAAAAGCTTGCTGCCTTTTTAGCTTTACGGGATGCTAAAAAAAAGGCGGAATACAAAATGGAAAATAAAAAACTACATCTGATACGTGTATTTGTGCTGCCTGGCACGCATTGAAATGCAAGGAGCGGAAAAATTTTCGAGCCGAGCAGGGGAACAAATAATGCCCAATTTGCATTTCGCAAAAGAGTGGAATACAAAAAACACTGCTAATACACCGGCGAGTGCAGCGTTTATGAAAAAATATATATTTAAATATAAAAATCTCAGTGGTATAGAGCCCGAAGGATATTGCGCGAAATACTATTGAAAATTTAACATATTAAAAAATGATTTAAAAAGAAAATATTTGATATCCGGATTTCCAAACATGTAAGTTCGTAAATAAATATGAAATGTATGTGTTTACAAGACACCAATTTGAAGGAATTTTATAGTGCTAAAATATTAAAAAACAAATATTTGAAAGAATGGACTATTTTTTCAATTAAACATCACTGCAGTCGAATGCACTTGACCATTACACGGTATTGGAATTTAAATATGCACGTTTCAGCTAATATGTAAAGTAAATAGGAAGCATTTTCAATTATTTATACGTTTGAATTACATGTTTAATTAAAAGCTGATAACACAAAAAGTGGCAGCATCGAAAAATAAAAAAAAAACCACTCAGCTGGCGGGAAGATAAGCCCCGCGGATGAAACAGAAGCAACCCGATTTCCATTGTTGTTGTCTTATTCATTAATTTTATGTGCCATTGATTGATTTTTAATGTCATTTCGGAGGAGGGGAATCCGGGACGTAAGAAATAAAAAGAGATTCGTATGAGGTGGGGGGTGGGGAGCGGGTCTGGAACTTTCGTCTGG